CATATATGCAAAAACGCATAAAAAGCATAGTGTCAAAAGTTGCAATCTATAGTATACTAAACTGTACTATAGTCTGTTTCTCGTGAGTGATTATAAATCCTCTAAGCACAGCTAATAACAAACACAAATTAGAAAATAAAAAGTAGAACAAAAAAATCCAAGGCACAGGCTGGCGTGAGTTACTCATGCCATCGTGTGCCTTGGATCACATGCGACTTGATAGACCGAAACATCCTTGTCTGGATATTCTTATTTTTCACATTCCTTACGCCGAGTAGCAAACTCCTCGAATTTTTCTAATAATCATGTGCATTCCAGTTTACCCATTCGTTTTAGCTGTCACTTAGAGCTTATAGCCCACAAATACTGAACCACTGTTCCATTTCAGCACTGTTTTAACAGGGCAGAAGAAATCTTTTCAAATTTTTTGAAGTCAGGTTGTCGTAAAACGAGGAGAAAAACATACACACAAATACAGAGGTCTCGACAAGTTCCCACTTTGGTAGCAGAAGTGCATGGAAGTGAAAAGTGTTTTGCCAGGACGGGCTTGTTTGGCTAGCTGCACTTCTGGGGAGAATCAATCGCATTTTTCTGAACAAGGGGCAAATTTTTCTAGTTCTGGCTCTGCCGTATAGCAAGAAAAGTCATGGCAATAGCCCCTGTCTTTTACTTGCTACACTGATACACTGGAAGATCGTACATGCACAGGCAACTGGTTGAAAATTAATGTTTAGTTACAACGGGCATCTATGTCAATTTCAGGAGCATCAGTCCCTCATTCCGTTTTTCCGAGCAATCTCCGTAAAATCATTTTTGACGATGGATTTACTTCAAAGTTATGAGACATCGATCGGAACTTTCTGGATAACATGGACAGAGGGTTGAGGTAGAAAAGTGCGGAGAGGAGAAGCGAGAGGGAAGGACGAGTTCAGATTTCAGCGGAGATTTTAGCGTTTATAGAATGGGCGCCAAATTCTGCTTTATACACCAGAAGGACGATGCTTAATTAAGGAAGCAGTACCGACAGTCAGTGACTGCAGTGACCCGGGAACTCGGTGATTACAAGAGTGGAAAACGAGAGAGCGGGAAAGAACAGTGCAAAACATTCCAGGAACAGCTGCTGATCAGTGGAAACGGGAGTTGCTGGCTGATGCGTCCGGCCGGCTGGCATCAACAAATGTAAGCAGAGCGCAATGAACAGCAGCATATTGTGCAAATTTTAAATTAAACAAACAGCTGCTGCGGAAAGAGCATGTTGCGATTAGCTCAGGAGCAAACTGGGCGAGAAGGACACGCACATCGGATGGATGCACCGCGGCATCGGCAAGTTGCTCAGCCCGATCATAGCGGGATTTGTGTGAGCAGTCTATCTGATTAGACGAACTGGACTGGTTTCAAATGAATTAAACTGATTTCCGATAAACTGTGATTGCAGCACTTCACTTCCAGCTTGCCAATCGCATCTCTAAGCATGCCCCGAGAGATCGACTGGATGATCAGAAGTGGTGGTAGTATGGCGTTGGAGACACAATATACCGAGAGATGAGGAGGGGTTCGAGGCGAAAGTGAGGTAGGAGTGCACAAAAACACGCCATCTTCCATCCCCTGTCCCGTTTAAAATCAACTTTAAATACTGCCGAGCAGTATTAATAATGCAGAATAAGGTGAGGGGAGTGTTCAGTGAAAGCCACATTGCCGAAAATTCATCTTTTTTTTTCGCCAACATTCACTGACATGGGCCTTTTTTATGCGTTTTGTGCTGTGTAACAGCGTTACACCCAGGCTGGAACGCACCAGGC